GGCAGATCACCTGAGGTCAGGAGTTGGAGACCAGCCTGGCCAACATGGTGAAGTCCCGTCTCTACTGCAGATACAAAAATTAGCCGGTCATGGTGGCGCCCGTGCCTGTAATCCTAGCTCGGGAGGCTGAAGCAGGAGAATCGCTTGAACCTGGGAGGCGGGGGTTGCAGTAAGCCAAGATCGAGCCACTGCACTCCAGCCTGGGTGACAGAGTGAGACTCTGTCTCAAAAAAAAAAAAAAAAAAAAAAAGAATCTTGGGCATTTTGTACTTCGGGTGTTCCTGACAGTTTAGTGACTGAGATCTCGCATTCAGATCTCTCCCTGTCGCTGCCCTGCCCTCCATTCCCCCCACTCTCACCCAGCCCCATTCTTGGTTCCCTAGGGGAGGAAGGCTTGGGTGAGGATTAGGAGCCAGCGTCCCTGGAGACCTCTGAGAGAGAGGATGGAGGTCGCTGGCACCTTCGCTGGCCATCCTTAGGGCCCTGATTGACGGCAGCTCCCTCGCCTCCCCCCACAGGCAGCAATCCGGCCCGTCAGAGCACCTAGAGCGCCGGGTCTCCAATGCAGGTGATGCTCAGATGGCTTCGGGAGTTGGGAGGGGGCCTCCCTGGAGGAAGAGGCCAGCTAGCTGGACAGTGAAGAATGAAGCTTCTCTTTCAGCTCCCCCCTTTTCTGTATTTGTTCCAGGAGGCCCACCTGCTCCCCCAGCTGGGGGTCCACCCCCACCACCAGGACCTCCCCCTCCTCCAGGTCCCCCCCCACCCCCAGGTTTGCCCTCCTCGGGGGTCCCAGCTGCAGCACATGGAGCAGGGGGAGGACCACCCCCTGCACCCCCTCTTCCGGCAGCACAGGGTCCTGGTGGTGGGGGAGCTGGGGCCCCAGGCCTGGCCGCAGCTATTGCTGGAGCCAAACTCAGGAAAGTCAGCAAGGTGAGGGACCGGGAGAGGTGGGCAGGGGCAACAGGGCTTTTATGGGGGATGAGGCCAGGGCTGCCAGCGGTGTCATAGGCCTGGAAGGCCAAAAGGCCTGCCCCTAAAGCTCCTGCCCCTTTTAAATTTCTCCAGCAGGAGGAGGCCTCAGGGGGGCCCACAGCTCCCAAAGCTGAGAGTGGTCGAAGCGGAGGTGGGGGACTCATGGAAGAGATGAACGCCATGCTGGCCCGGAGGTGAGCCTGAGCCTGGACGCCCGAGTCAACTGGAGATTCCAGTTCAGTAGGGCCCAGTTGGGGAGGGCTCCGATTCCTGTTTGGTTTGTTTCTTTTGGTGACTGTTCCCCACTTTGATAACCAGGTTTGGGATATAATGGTGGGGTTTGTCATTTCCTGAAATGGCTGAGGCTTGCAACCACCTAGGTAGCCTGTGGAATGTTCTGAAACCCAGAATTCTAGAACCATAGGAGATCCTGCCTTGGAATTCTGGGAACTCAGATTCCTACAATCTCAGTGTTCTAACACAGCACCGCTCCACCCTTGGAATCTTAATATTCCCTAACACAAGAATCATAGAACCTTCTCCACCCTGATTCTAGAACCGCAATCTCTTGAATTTTTTTTCTTTTTCTTTTTCTTTCTTTTTTTTTTTTTTTGAGATGGAGTCTCATTCTGTCACCCAGGCTGGAGCGCAGTGGTAAGATCTCAGCCCACTGCAACCTCCGCCTCCAGGGTTCAAACAATTCTCCTGCCTCAGCCTCCTGAGTAGCTGGGATTACAGGCATGAGCCACCACGCCCGGCTAATTTTTGTATTTTTAGTAGACTCGGAGTTTCACCATGTTGGCCAGGCTGGTCTTGAACGCTTGACCTCAAGAGATCCACCTGCTTCAGCCTCCCAAAGTGCTGGGATTATAGGCGAGAGCCACTGTGCCCAGCACAATCTCTTCAATTTCTAAAACTAGAGTTTCCTTAGGTTTTCTGAGTTCCAGAATTCTATGCCCCAGCATCTACATTTCTAGAACTCCCCTCGGAAGGGGATGGGTTGGGTGACGGAGCATGTGTTTTTGTTTTTCTCTCCTGCAGAAGGAAAGCCACACAGGTTGGGGAGAAAACCCCCAAGGATGAATCTGCTAATGTAAGTTAGGGGCTCTTCTTGCCCTTCACCTCTTAGGCCGGATCGTGAGGGTAGGGATAGTGGGATGTGTGGGGTTTGAACCTGAAAGAGGAAATGCGCAGAGGTGCGGCAGGGGCTGGCTCATGGCAGTTTTATTTCCTACCAGCAGGAGGAGCCAGAGGCCAGAGTCCCGGCCCAGAGTGGTGAGTGAGTGCCCAGTCCAGCCACAGGAACTACAAATCCCAGAATACCCTGTTCTCACATGTTAAGCACCTTCACGGGAGAGTCAGGGCGATGGTGCTGGGGATTGTAGTCTCCTGAGATGGGGCTTTGAACAGGGGCTGATAAGATTGGGGGAGTAAGACTGATTGGGGGGCAGTCTTTTGTCCCTGATCTTTCTGATTTGTTGCCTATCCCCAGAATCTGTACGGAGACCCTGGGAGAAGAACAGCACAACCTTGCCAAGGTAGGCCATTGGTACTGGGGCCCTTGGGGAGGTCAAGACGGGCAGATCGCTTAGAGCCCAGGAGTTCAAGACCAGCCTGGGCAACATGGCGAGACTCCAACTCTACAGAAATTAGCCAAGTGTGGTGGCACTTACCTGTGGTCCCAGCTACTCGGGAGGCTAAGGTGGGAGGATCACTTGAGCCCAGGAAGTCGAGGCCACAGCGAGCCACCATCGTGCCTGCACTCCAGCCTGGGAGAGAGAATGTGACTGTTTCAAAACAAAACAAAACAAAACAAAAACTGGGGACTCAAAATACTTGGACTTGCCCAATTTATAAGGCGGAACTCAATGTGATCCCTGGACTAGGAGGTGGGGAAGCAGGTCCTCTTTTTAATTTCATTGCTCTCCCAAACCATGCCAACTCCCCCAGGATGAAGTCATCTTCCTCGGTGACCACTTCCGAGACCCACCCCTGCACGCCCAGCTCCAGCGATGACTCGGACCTACAGAGGGTGAAACAGGTAACTTGGAGGGGAGGTTGGGAACCACAGCAAGAGAGTTCTAGGTCTGGCCCCTGCCACTGGCGTGCCGTATCATCCTAGATAACATCTCAGAAACCTCAGGTTTCCAGTCTGACAAATGGAGAGGCTGGATTGGATCAAGGATGACCCAGACCCCACACCCCCTTTTCTGGCGCCTGTGACAGACATTATTAATCTGTCACCGCGCTCATTCCCGATGAGTGCCTTGAATCCCTTCCGCACATTGACCCAGCTGTCCGTCACCAATTGGAGTTGGCAGGAGGCTGGAACGCACTTGCCAACCTTGGTACTGGATGTTCTCCAGTACTTTTCTGGCTCCAAGGATCCAGAATTCTCCCCTAGAATCCTCCAGTCACTCTGCGACCTTGACAGCGATGTCATGGTGTCGGGGTAGGGGTGGGTCTCAAACCTACTCCCTCTGGCTTTTCCATCAATAAGAAAGAGGGGACTCTGGCAGGGCACGGTGGCTCATGTCTGTAATTTCAGCACATTGAGAGGCTGAGGTGGGAGCATTGCTTGAGGCCAGGAGTTTGAGACCAACCTGGGACAACATCGGGAGGCCTCGTCTCTAAAAATAACTTTAAAAAATTACCTGACTCAGCCGGGCACGGTGGCTCACGCCTGTAATCCCAGCACTTTGGGAGGCGGAAGTGGGTGGATCACGAGGTCAGGAGATCGAGACCACGGTGAAACCCCGTGTCTATAAAAATACAAAAAATTAGCCGGGGTGGCTCACGCCTGTAATCCCAGCACTTTGGGAGGCCGAGGTGGGTGGATCACCTGAGGTCGGCTTCAAGACCAGCCTGGCCAACATGGCGAAACCCGATGTCTACTAAAAATAAAAAAATGAGCTGGGCCTGGTCGGGGGCACCTGTAATCCAGTTATTTGGGAGGCTGAGGCAGGAGAATCGCTTGAACCCAGGAGCCAGAGGTTGCAGTGAGACGAGATTGGGCCACTGCACTCCAGCCTGGGCAACAGGGAGACTCTCTCAAAAAAAAAAAAAAAAAAAAAAAAGAAGAAGAAGAAAAAGTTACCTGATTGTGGCGGCAGGTGCCTGTGGTCCCGGCTACTTGGGAAGCTAAGGCAGGAGGATTGCCTGAGCCTGGGAAGTTGAGGCTGCAATGAGCTGTGATCGTGCCGTTGCACCCTAGCCTGGGCAACAGAGCAAGTCCCCATCTCAAAAAGTAACAGAAGGGATATTCGTTCCTGCAAATCCCAGTACCCGCTCCTGATTAGTTGTACCCCATTAATTTTAGGAGCTTCTGGAAGAGGTGAAGAAGGAATTGCAGAAAGTGAAAGAGGAAATCATTGAAGGTGAGGTGGTTTGGTTTGGTTTGGTTCTTAAACATTTACTTATTTCGGAGGCATCATGTCCCTGGGCAAGAGCCCTGTTTTGGAAGGGAGGAGGCAGAGACTGTGCCCCTGACCTCTGCTTCTTGTTTCCTTCCAGCCTTTGTCCAGGAGCTGAGGAAGCGGGGTTCTCCCTGACCACAGGGACGGACCCAGAAGACCCGCTTCTCCTTTCCGCACACCCCGCCTGTCACCCTGCTTTTTCCCTGCCTCTACTTGATTTGGAATTGGCTGAAGACTACACAGGAATGCATCGTTCCCACTCCCCATCCCACTTGGAAAACTCCAAGGGGGCGTGGCTTCCCTGCTCACACCCACACTGGCTGCTGATTGGCTGGGGAGGCCCCCGCCCTTTTCTCCCTTTGGTCCTTCCCCTCTGCCATCCCCTTGGGGCCGGTCCCTCTGCTGGGAATGCACCAATGAACCCCACAGGAAGGGGGAAGGAAGGAGGGAATTTCACATTCCCTTGTTCTAGATTCACTTTAACGCTTAATGCCTTCAAAGTTTTGTTTTTTTAAGAAAAATATATATATATATTTGGGTTTTGGGGGAAAAGGGAAATTTTTTTTTCTCTTTGGTTTTGATAAAATGGGGTGTGGGAGTTTTTAAATGCTATAGCCCCGGGCTTGCCCCATTTGGGGCAGCTATTTAAGGGGAGGTGATGTCTCACCGGGCTGGGGGTGCCTCCCCCCACCCCAGGGAGTCCCCTTCTCTCTGGCTCCTCCCCCTTTTCTATGAGGAATTAAGATGCTGTAACTTTTTGGAACCTCAGTTTTTTGATTTTTTATTTGGGTAGGTTTTGGGGTCCAGGTCATATTTTTACCCCTTGGAGAAAATAAGATGAGGGAGAAAGGAAAAGGGGAGGAAACTTCTCCCCTCTCACCTTCACCTTTAGCTTCTTGAAAATGGGCCCCTGCAGAATAAATCTGCCAGTTTTTATAAATGCTAAGATCTCTGGAGTGATTTGAAGGGCTGTTCTGATGGGGATGGAGGCGTGCTCGGCCCCGATGCCCCTCCAGGAAGATTTGGTCCTCTGCTGAGAACCCCCGCCTCCGACCAGGAATCCACCTTCCCCTCATCTTCCTTCCCATCCTGCACATTGTACCTGCTCCCACATCCTCAGGCCCGCAGCCACATCTCTGGCCCCTCCAGCCTCCCTCCTCATGCCCCTTAGGAGGCCATTTCCTCCCCATCCCACCCTGCCCTTCACCACCCTGGCGGGAGGAGGGGCAGAAGCAGCCTCACTTTGTGTGGCTTTGGGCAAGTCCATTTGCTTACCCCAGGCCTCAGTTTCTGATTTGGGAAAGGGCTCATAAGATGATTCTCTGCCTCTACTCTACCACTTTCCCAGCTTCTTTCCTTTTTTTTTTTTTTTTAAATGTATTGGGGTCTTGCTCTTTCACCCAGGCTAGAGTGTAGTGGCAGGATCACAGCTCACTGCAGCCTTGAATTCCTGGGCTCAAGGGATCCTCCTGCCTCAGCCTCCGAAGTAGCTGGGACTACAGGCGCTTGCTACGACGCCCAGCTAATATTTTTGTTTTTCGTAGAGATGTGGTCTTGCTATGTTGCCCAGACTGGTCTCCTGGCCTCGAGCAGTCCTCCTGCTTTGGCCTCCTAAAGTGCTAGAATTGCAGGCGTGAGCAACTGTGTCCGACCTTCTTTCCTAATTTCGATGACATTTTGCAGACGCACATCATGGTTCTCAGACACATTCTTAAGATCTTTACCCCAGAGCACCTTTAATTATAACACGCGGACAGTCTGTTTAAAAAGTAGCATTCAGAGTCACAGAGCTCACCCACGCCCCCTTCAGTTGTCGGGTGGGTAGGTCATATGGCCTGGTGGAATACCCTGCTTGGACAGGGGGACCTCAGGGCTGAGGGACGGGTAGTCCCCCTGGAGGAGGCCTTTGCATGAAGGAGGGCGGAGGGAGACCTGGGCCAGTCCAAAGGCAGGAAGAAAGGGCGATCCTTGAGTACTCTGAGGGGCAGATTTGGAGGGAAGTTGGGCGAACTGACGATGACTTAGGTAGTAGAGGGACAGGCCGGTCCCCAGCAAAGGCAACTGAAGAGGACAGCGAGGGATGACCAGATAAAAGGACAGTAGCAGTAGGTCCAGGACTGGGGACTCGTGGGCTAGAATGGACTAGCCCTGGTCAAGATGGGTTTTTCTTCCCAAAAGGCCACGTCCTGCTGGAACAGACTACAGAATGCCAGGCTGGGAGGCATCGCCCTGGAAGACCCAGCATAGCCATGCCAGTAGGGTGCGCCATAGGTGGAAGAAGAGGGGGGTTCTGTTGGATCGATCCACTCAGGGAGGGGAGGATGCCAATGGCAGGTACTAAGATGGATTAAGGTCAGGAGCCACAGGGTGGTGACTCATTGGAGCTAACACTGTGCAGGATTCACCCCCACCTCCCTTCCCCCTAAGACTGAGGTAGATGGAAGGGGGCGAGTCGGGAAGTCCGTTACGAACTTTGTGCATCTTTACAATGGTCTGTACCAATGAGGTGGAGGTAGGGTGTGTTTGGTGCAAAAGATGAGCGTCCTAGGGGAAGGCTCCACTCAAGTGAGGGAGGGTGCGGGTGACAAAATGAGAGGTGGCTAAATCCAGGTGCAGAATCCAATTTTCTTTTGCCAAAAGTGGTAGACGTCCTGCTGGCCTACCTATCCGGATGGAGGTGGGGTCTGATAAAAGATGCTGTCTCTCCAAAGTGCTCAACCAATGCGCTGGCAGGGGCGGGGTAGGAGAGGGCGGGGTCCTTCTTGGAACGTTCCACCTGCAGGAGGCGGGGAGTCCCAGTGGAAGGTACCGCTGGGGCAGTTTAGTAGGGAGGTTGGGTCGGCTTCAGCCCAGGATCTCTCCGGCGCCCTGGAAGGACTGGGTGGTGTCAGCTGGGCCGGTCCAGGATGGGACAGTGCGGAGAACAGGCCAAGATGGAGACTTCTCAGTCCAGGCAGTAGTCACCTCCAAGACCAGGGCCCCGAGACCTCCTATTTCTCCGACGCCGGCACAACTGGGGGCGCAGGCGGCGGGTCTCCGAGGCAGAGGTGGGCTCGCACCTCTTGCAGCTGAGCACGCAGCTCCTCCAGGGCAAGCTGCATCTGCGTGGCCTGCACCTGCGTCTGCAGCTCCTCGAGCGCCAGCCCCAAGTGGCCCACCTCGCCCCGCAGCGACTCCCTGGCAATGCGTCGCTCCTTTTCCTTGCGGCGCTGCTTCAACTGGTGGCGCCAGTACTCCAGCATCAGGCAGCTGCAGGCGGTGATGAAGATGATGCCCTCGCCCAGCAGCTCCGCACCCAGCTCGGCGGCTGCCCCCTCGTTCAGCGGCTTGACGGCAGCGGCATTGAAGCCCATGATGCGCATTTTGGCCCGCATCTCCAGCCAGTGGTACACTGCGGGGAAAGACCGGAGTCAGGGATCTTTTGCAGGGCAGCCTCCTGCAAGCTCAGCCCCTCTGTGCCTCGATGTCCCCGATGTAGCAATGGGGATGTGGTCACCACAATCGGACGCGTGCTGGAGGGGGAGCCTTAACGAAGACAAGCGCAGGCCTCACACCCAGAATCCTCTAGGGAAAACTTGCTTAACTAATGACTTACTCACGTGAAGGTGGAGTGTCAGCTTTTGCATCTTTATAAACACAGAAGATGCTGATGCTCTTTTGTTTTATTTCTTTTTCTTCTTTTGAGCCAGGGTTTCGCTCTATCGTCCAGGCTGGAGTGCAGTGCCAAGATCACGGCTCACTGCAGCCTCAAATTCCTGGGCCTCCTCCTCCTGCCTCAGCCTCCAGAGTAACTGGGACAACGTGTGCGCGCCATCATGCCTGGCTAATTATTAAATTATTTTGGTAGAAATGGGGTCTCCTTGCGTTGCCCAGGCTGGTCTCGAACTCCTGGGCTCAAGTGATCTTCCTGCCAAAGCCACCTAAAGTGCTGGGTCTACAGGTGTGAGCCACAGTGCCCAGCCCTGAGGCTAACTCTTAATTCCATCAAGAATTCATACTTCGCTGGGCGCGGTGGCTCACGCCTGTAATCCCAGCACTTTGAGAGGCTGAGACAGTGGCTCAGTTGAGGTCAGAAGCTCGAGACCAACCTGGCCAACATGGCGAAACCCCGACTCTACTAAAAATACAAAAATTAGCCGGGCGTGATGGCGCGTGCCTCTAATACCAGCTACTCTGGAGGCTGAGGCAGGAGAATTGCTTGAAACCGGGAAGCAGCAGCTGCAGTGAGCCGAGATCATGTCACTGTACTCCAATCTGGGAGACAGAGCGAGACTCTATTTCAAAAAAAAAAAAAAATTGTAACTTGATTTTTCACTGCATTCCCCTCCAACCTCATGAACTACATGGAATTCGTCACATATTCTACCTCCTTCCCTTTCCCCTCCCAATTTTTACAAGTGGTTTTTATTTTTATTCTTTTACTGTTTATTTTTATTTATGTATGTATGGTTTTTTTTAATTGAGACAGGGTCTTGCTCTGTTGCCCAGGTTGTAGTGCAGTGGCACCATCTCAGCTCACTGCAACCTCCACCTCCCAGGTTCAAGAAATTTCCAGCTAATTTTTGTATTTTCAGTAGGGACGGGTTTTCACCATCTTGGCCAGGCTGGTCTCGAACTCCTGACCTCAAATGATCCATCTGCCTCAGCCTCCCAAAGTGCTAGGATTACAAACGTGAGCCACCACGCCCAGCCTTTATTTATTATTTATTTATTTATTTATTTATTTATTTATTTATTTATTTTGAGACAGAGTCTCACTCTGTCCCCCAGACTGGAGTGCAGTGGTGTGATCTCGGCTCACTGCAGCCTCTGCCTCCCACATTCAAGCCATTCTGGTGCCTTAACCTCCCAAGTAGCTTGGATCAATGGCGTGCGACATCATGTCAGCTACTTTTTTTTTTTTTTTTTTTTTTTTTTGTATTTTTAGTAGAGACAGGGTTTCACTATGTTGGTCAGGCTGGTCTCGAACTCCTGACCTCAAGTGATCCACCTGCCTCAGCCTCCCAAAGTGCTGGATTATAGGCATGAGCCACCACGCCCAGACTATTTTTTTAACTGTTTATCAGTAACCTATGTAATTGCTTTGTGCAATGCTTTGTGCTGCCTGAAATTGAAAATATAGACAATGTAAAATATGAAGGTTATGGAAATATTAATCATGTAGATCCATAATGAAGATGTATTTTTATTTCACTAAACCAGTGGTGTGTGAAGCATTATCATTAAATACCAGCTGTACTCACTACTTCATATCGTGCCACATTTTTGTTTTCTTTTATTTCAACTTTGACATTACTGTATGAAGGTTTTAGTTTTTCCTAGAATGATGATTCTCAAACTATGCAACCCACAAAAATTCACCATGGGACTAAGATCATCCAGATGTTTGCTCCTATTCTATTTATTAAATAAATAGTCATGGACACACTGGCTGTTCTCTGGGCTGCTGCAGGACTGTTCTCCTTCATACTGCTCCTCCTGTTTTGAGAAACTTGCATCCTCTTTGTTGAATTTCATTCTAGTTTTCCTGGAGTATATCCCTAAATACCTTTCGCAGAAAGGATGCTTAGTACCTCAGTGTTTTGAGTCCTTGAATATCTGAAATATCTTTTTCCACCTTCACATTAGATTAGATGATAAATTCTAGCCCCAGAATGACTAGTTCTAAATCCTATTCCTCAGCAGTTTGGTGGCCTGGTTCCATGATGTGTAAAGGCAGAGGGGCTTGTTGTCACCCCTGTGGCACTGACATTGCACCAAGATGGATGCTTTTCTCATTCCCCTTACTTTAAACTACTTTAAACTATCTTCTATCCAAATCCTGTTTCTCTCTTTAGCCCTTTGAATTTTTCTTGTCTGCTCAGTAAAGGATTAACCTCACCCAAATAGAGGTCTGACCTTTGCCTTTTACTCCTGGGAGGTAATTTTTTAGTTCTTGGAATGTACAGCCTGAGTTTACGTGGGGACTTGGGCCACACCAAATGGTTTGTGCTAACAGTGGTGATTTATGGTAGGGGCTTTGGGCCATGTGGTATCAGCTTAACCTCTGGAGGGGCTAGAATCTAAGGGGAGCCACACAAGTGGTCAGCCTTATCCACATGCCTATCCCTATTAAAAACCCTGGACACCGAGGCTCAGGGAGACTTCCCTGATGGGTGATATCATGTCTCTCATCATTACTGGGAGAAGTTAGTGCTGTCTACAACTGCACCAGGTATTAAACTGGCACTTGGAACTCTCCTGGACCCATGGACTTCTTCCCTGGGCTGATTGTAATCTGATTCTTTTCACTGTAATGAGCCACAACCATGAGAATAACTGACCCTAGTGAGTTCTGTGAGTCTTTCTAGCAAATTACTGGAACTGATGGTGGTCTTGGGAGACTCCTGGGCTTGCAGTCAATATCAGAAGTGAGGGTGGTCTTGGTGACCCCCTAACTGTGTCTTATCCGTTGCCTCCTCTCCATTTTCTCCTACCTTTCTCCTACCCCTTCCCAGTCTGGAACGCCACCCTGCACTGATCTCATTTGTCTTTCCTGTTTTTTTCATTGCTCCTTTTTGTTACACCAGTGGGAGGTTTTGTTGACTTTTCAGAACTGATTTTTTTCCCCTGATTTTCATAGTCTTTATTTAAAATTTGATTATAAAATGTCCAAACATACAGGGAAGTTTAGTGTTCATTGGGCTTTAAAATTATTTTATTTTTTAAAAGAGATGGGGTCTCACTATGTTGTCCACCCTTGTCTCAAACTCCCAGCCTCAAGCAATCCTCCCACCATAGCCTCTTAAAGTGCTGATTGCAAGCATGAGCCACTGTGCCCAGCCCTAGGATTATTTTTATTTTTATTTTTATTTTTATTTTTGAGATGGAGTTTTGCTCTTCTCCCCCAGGCTGGAGTGCAATGACACTATCTCCACTCACTGCAATCTCTGCCTCCCAGGCTCAAGCGATTCTCCTGCCTCAGCCTCCCCAGTAGCTGGGATTACAGGCATGTGCCACCACGCCCAGCTAGTTTTTGTATTTTTACAAAATAAAATGTGTCCACCACAGCCACCGTTAAGCAGTGGGCAGGTTGTCACCTCTGACTCTGGCCTGGAGATAAGTCAGACTCAATCCATGTGAATTCTAGAATCAGTTTGTCAGTTTGCACACACATGCACATGCACAAATATACAAACACACACCTTTTGGCATAGAATTGGGATTGACTTGAATCTATAAATCAGTTTATAAGATGATATCTTTACAATATTGAACCTTCCAAATGAAGGAATCCACAGCTTTGGCACAAAGATTACTTTACAGTGAAAACACTTGAAATGTTCTCTAAACTTCTCTTACTGGACTAAAGGAGAGCCTTCTGAAAATACAACTGCCATTAACCCCCTCCGAGGGAGTTTTCTGCAAATTCCAGAAAGGAGACAGACTGTCCATCTCTATTAGAATTAAAAATCACACAGGAAAACAATAGAGGCCAGGAACTGCGGCTCATGCCTGTAATCCCAGCACTTTGGAGGCTGAGGCGGGAGGATCACCTGAGGTCAGGAGTTCCAGACCAGCCTGGCCAACATAATTAAACCCCATCTCTACTAAAAATACAAAAATTAGCCAGACATGGTGGCGGGTGCCTGTAATCCCAGGACTTGCGAGGCTGAAGCAGGAGAATCGCTTGAACCTGGGAAGTGGAGGTGTAGTGAGCCGAGATCCTACCATCACACTCCAGCCTGGCGACAAGAGTGAAACTCTGTCTCAAAAAAAAAAAAAAAAAAAAAGTAAAGAAAATAATAGAACTATCCATACTTTTCCACTGAACCCCTTTTCCTTTTTTTTTTTTTTTTTTTTTTGAGATGGAATCTTGCTCTGTTGCCCAGGCTGGAGTGCAGTGGCATGATCTCGGCTCACCACAACCTCTGCCTCCCGGGTTCAAGCGATTCTCCTGCCTCAGCCTCCCAAGTAGCTGGGACTACAGGCACGTGCCACCATGCCCGGCTAATTTTTGTATTTTTAGTAGAGATAGGGTTTCACTATGTTGGCCAGGCTGGTCTGGAACTCCTGACCTCGTGATCCCCTGCCTTGGCCTTCCAAAGTGCTGGAGTTACAGGCATGAGCAACTGTGCCCAGCCTGAACCCCTTTTTCTTAAGTTGGTAAATAAACCTGTACTTCCAGCTATTCAATGAGTTACTTATTACAGAGTTCCCTTGCCTAATGTGTAAATAAACTTTTCCTCTCCACCTGTTGATCTATTGTTAATTAATTTGCAGGTTCCCAACAACAGGGATCTAGATTGGTAGACGAAAAGATTTTCCTGTCAATGCAATCCATGAACATGGTATTCTCTTCATTTAGGTCTTTAAGGAATTTATCTCAATAATGTTTTGTAGTTTACAGAA